TGGCAACAGAAGATGTTGTTCTACCTAGCAACTCTCGGCCTGGCAAGGTTCTTGTCCGAGAGTGTTCCCGAGTTGAAGGAACAAGATGCACAATCCGTGATGGCGGTTGGCTATTGGAAGGATTCGGACTTCCTTTGACGAAACTACATCCTGAATGGATTGTGTGACACGCTATATGATGTATATCGAAAGATAAGCACATCAAAAGCGTTGTGGGAAGCTTTGGATCATAAATACCAAAGTGAGGATGCCGGCTCAAAGAAATTTGTAGTTGGCCGATTCCTCGACTTCAAAATGGTTGATTCAAAGACCGTGCTAAGTCAGGTAGAAGATTTGCAATTAATCTTTGATGAGATCCGTGACGAGGGCATGGTGCTAAGTGAAGCCTTCCAAGTGGGATCTGTGATCCATTTGTTGCCTCCAGGTTGGAAGGACTTCAAGAACTACCTTAAGCATAAGCGAAAGGAAATGAATCTGGAGGACCTGATCCAGCGACTCAGGATTGAGGAAGGGAACAGGACGAATGATAGGAAAGTTCCTATTGTTGTTGGCGCTAAGGCAACGTTGTGGAGCACGGTAAGAGCTCTAAGAGGAACAAGAAGGACAAGCGAAAGCTAGGTCCGAAAGGTGGTGTTACCAAGAACAAGTTTCCTGGTGAATGCTACAATTGTGGCAAGCATGGCCACAGAGCATCTGAATGCAAGGCTCCAAGAAAAAAGAACAAGAGTTCTGAAGCCAATGTTGTTGGAGATAGCAGTCAGAAGGAGGTCGAGATTAGCCTTTCGGCTATGGTGACCGAGGTGAACCTCGTGGGCTCAAACCCTCGTGAGTGGTTCATTGATACCGGTGCAACCAGGCACTTGTGTTGCAACTGAGAGATGTTCAACACCTTTGAGACCGTTGAGGGTGAAAAGGTGTGGATGGGAAACTCTGCTCAGTCTGCTGTGGAAGGCATGGGCAAGGTGGTTCTGAAGATGACTTCCGGGAAGGAACTAACGTTGAACAACGTGTTGTATGTTCCTGAGCTGAGAAAGAATCTTGTGTCTGGCTCTCTGTTGAACAAGCATGGCTTTCGCATGGTGTTCGAGTCAGACAAAGTAGTTTTGTCCAAGTTAGGGATGTTTGTTGGTAAAGGATATGTAACTGATGGGCTCTTTAAGCTCAATGTAATTCCTGTTATCAATAAAAGCAAAGTTAATTCTGTTTACTTGCTTGAGTCTTCCAGTTTGTGGCATGGTAGACTAGGTCATGTTAATTTTAATTCTATGCGTAGATTAATTAGCATGGTCCATATTCCTAACTTTCAAATTGACACAAATAACAAGTGTGAAATTTGTGTTGAGGCAAAACTAACGAAAGTACCTTTCAAGTCGGTTGAAAGGGAAACTGAACCACTAGAATTAATCCATAGTGATTTGTGCGATTTTAGATCGATACAAACTAGAGGTGGTAATAAGTATTTTATCACATTTATCGACGATAGCACACGATACTGCTATGTGTATTTGCTTAAGAGCAAAGATGAAGCCGTTGGTAAATTCGTTCTTTATAAGAATGAAGTGGAAAACCAACTTAATCGGAGGATTAAGAAGGTTAGAAGCGATCGAGGTGGTGAGTACGAAGCACCTATTGGTGACTTCTGTGCGAGTGTTGGGATAATACACGAGCGTACTGCACCTTACTCACCTCAATCGAACGGTGTTGCCGAACGAAAGAATCGTACATTGAAAGATATGATGAATGCGATGCTTATAAGTTCGGGCCTACCTCAAGATGCTTGGGGTGAGGCGATTTTGACAAGTAACTACCTTTTGAATAAGGTACCCCGAAAGAAGCTCGATAAGACTCCTTATGAGCTGTGGAACGGCAGGAAACCTTCCTACCAGTACCTGAAAGTGTGGGGGTGTCTTGCTAAAGTTTTGGTGCCAACACCTAAGAAAGTAAAGATAGGTCCTAAGACGGTGGACTGTATCTTTATTGGCTATGCACATAATAGTAGTGCTTATCGGTTCTTAGTACACGAGTTCCATAATCCGGACGTACACGAGAACACGATAATAGAATCAAGGAATGCATATTTTTTCGAAAATATATTTCCTTGTAGGTCCAACGAGGGACCAAGTACGTCAAAACGAACGTTTGACGAAACTATGGATAATGATAGTGGGGAATCCGAGAGAGAACCCGAGCTCGAGCCGAGACGCAGTAAGCGGGCGAGAGTTGGAAAATCATTTGGTCTTGATTTTCTAACTTACTTGTTAGAGTACGATTCGGGTACTCTAACTTGTTTATTAGAAAATGAACCCGATTTTCTATCTTGTTTGATAGAGAATGAGCCTCGAACGTATGTAGAAGCCGTGACTTCTACGGAAGGACCAATGTGGAAAGAGGCTATAAAAAGTGAAGTGGATTCTATCCTACAGAATCACACTTGGGAACTCGATGATCTTCCTCCGGGTAGTAAACCCTTAGGATCCAAGTGGGTCTTTATGCCATTTTAGCTATTTTTTTCCAACAATCCCCCACATGAATGAAAAATTGATTTTCGGGGTATTTTGAAATCGGAAACAACTGTGTTCAAACGGTCGATCCCTGCATAGGATAGGTAGGGAGTCACTATACCCTTTGAACCCTTAGGATCCAAGTTGGAAAAAGGCTTGATTCAAGCCCGAGCTCGTGTGCGCCGGCACCTGGGGGCACGAATGTCGTCCGAAAATTGGCTGGCCTACTCTCGTGTAGTGGTGCACCGAGAGCGAGCACAACTCTCGTGCAACAGAGTCCACGAGAGGTGCAAGGGCCGAAACTGGATGAGGTCGAAAGAGTTGAGACCGAACCCTGTACGCTAACGGTCATCTGTTGAGGGGATTGAATTCATCTGTTACGGAATTAATTGTCTATTAATTCCAATTTTGAATTCTGAATTCAATTCCCAGGTAGTGGCCTGCTGTTATAGCTGTTGGAAGGCAGCTTTGATGTCATTTTTAATTGCCATAATAAAGGCTATTGGCTCCTTCAACCCTATATAAGAGAGGGTAGAGGTAGTAGAGTTTTACACACAGAAACATAGAACACGAAAGTTCATTTTTTCAGCTTCAAAACCTCTCTGCTTCTACTCTTTCTTGGCCTACTGTGTTCATAGCCATTGTCTTGCTCGCCGGATTCCTTGTTTGAGTGCTCAAACATTGAATCATTAGCAAGTTTTATCCTGGGAAGCCTAGGCCACAGTGCTCCTAGCATCTTTGGGATGTGGCAAATAAGGTTTTAAGGAAAGAGTGCTCACTTGACTCTTGCAAAAACCCAACACCAAACACTAGCCACTTTTCTTCACCTTTTCTTCCCTTCTTTCCAAAAAATAATAATCTTATTTTTGATTATTATTTGTGTTTTCTACCAACGGTACCAACAGAATATGCATGAATTCATGCATGAATTCATGTTTTATAATAATTTCAATCACTTTTATAGTTTTATTGCATCATATGATAATTATATCGTCTAATTATATTAGTTGGTTATAATCAAAATAGCTTTATATTCCTAAGTTGGTTATCAGGTGATAGATAATTGAGCACATACATATATTTAATGGTGATTTTATTTTTTGAAATTTTAATTTTTAAATGAATATAATTTTAAAGTAAACACTTTGATAAATTATATTTTATAAAATTAAATGATATTGGAGCATAATTTTTTAAAAATAAATTGTATATTAACGAACTCAATTTTAAAAATAGAGCCGTTCATTAAACTTATTAAAAAAAAAAAAAAAAACTTATATTGAAAGTCAATTGTATGATGGCATGGTTTTGGGCAAATTATTGGACCATGGTCCACATACTGTTATGTGGAGCATAATAAAAAGTACATTTTTAATATGTACATTATTTTTGTACTGAATGTACATTATTTTACAGTATACAAAATATGGTCCAAACGATAATGATTAGTAATGATTGGGATAAATAGAATATTTTTCAAAATTTTGTATTTAAAATATTATATATAATTTATCTTGTGGTTTATAAATCTTAAACTTCTATATATAATTAAGTTTAAAAATAGATTACCAGGACTATGTGGTCTAATGGTATCCGGGTTGGACTTCCATTTGAAAGATTATGAGTTTAAGCATAGATCCAGTAGCTTTCAAAAAAAGTTTAAAAATAAATCCTATCAACTTATTAACTAATCATATATTAATCCGTTTTACTCGTCAAGTATAATACAACGCAAAATTATTATTTATGTCGTATATCTAAAAATAAAAAACTAATAAGTGTGAATGAAAATCCTATCTTTCATTTATGTCCGATTTTTCATTACTATTTTTATACATTATGCTATAAGAGTTGTATTATACAATATTTTGATAAAAAAAAAAATACTTCTACGGTTATAATAACTTTCATTATCTTTTTCAACTATTATTGGCATGCATATGCACCACTATATATTTTATTATCTTTTTCAATAGTAATAATATATAGATATTATCAATTGGAGTACTATATAAGTTATTTTCTAAAATATAAGTATCAAATTTATAAAAATAGTTTCCATTATTATTATTATTATTATTATTATTATTATTATTATTATTATTATTATTATTATTATTATTATTATCCAATTATATAAATATCTAAAATATAAATAAATCTAACATTTTAATATAGAGTACATACTAATATTAGGCATCGATATTTACGCAACAAGCATAAAATATAATAGTAACTACGGTCAATTCTCTAATTTTGTAATTATTTTAGTAATCTGATCCCCTCACCAACTGCCAAGTTGCTGGGTTATGCAAAATTTTTTGAATGGTTTATAAGATTAACAAATTTTGGTTACCACCCCACAAGAAAAAAAAAATACGGAGTAATAAATAATTTTTTAAAAAGAAAAGTTTAAATTATTTCTCAAATATCATATATGATGCCAATCAACATCTTTAGTAAAAGATGTTAATACAGATTTTCAAATACCCTTTTCGTCTAATCAATTCTCTTTTGAACCGCTGAACAGTTGACAGTAGGACTAATCTCAAATGGAAGGGGGACTTTGCAATAATTCGGGAGACCTTGAACCCGTTTAATCTGGTCTGGCGTGGCTTTAGAAAACCCCTCTTTCATGCACTCGCACGCGCTCTGTCTGTCTAGCTTTGATTTTAAACCATCCACTACTGTTTTTAGGCCGTCACAGCACGCTTGCGGTATCTCCCCGCCATTTAATATGTAGCCAATGCATGGTGAAATTGTAGTGATGAGGCCACTGCATGATACCTGCGCCTCCACCCAAGGCGGGATAACGGCGGAGGTGATGACGCATAGGAGGAGCAATGACATCAGCTGCTTTCGGTTTCCGACGACTGCCATTGTGTAGATATCTTCGTTGGATTGATATAAGAAGAATATGATTCGTAGCTTAAGATTAGTGAATGTGGAAATAATTGGGATGGATAGGGAGGTATATATAGCTACCATCGTTTGGATTTAGACGTACTAACTAAAAATGTGACTGCATTTTCTAATAATGTCATATGGTTCCGTTTTACCACTTTTAGTCTTAAATTTTCAAATTAATCAGCTGTGATCCTTCACTTTCAAATTGTTACTATTCGTGGTCCAAGTTAACCATCTATGGTCTTTCAACTTTCAAAATTTAATCAATTATGGTCCTCCTAGAAAGATCACAACCAGTTAAAATTTGATAGTTGAAGAACTATAGATAATTAACTTGGATAACGAATGATAAAAATTTAAATGTCGAAGGACCACGGATGATGGATTTAAAAGTGTAAGACTAAACGTGGTAAATTAAAACCACTGTATTTAGAGGACCCAGATGATATTAACTCTTATTATATGTTATTTAAGTAAAATCTTAATTCAAGGTAAATAGTAAGGTTGATTTTAGATGAATAATTTTGTATTTAAGTGAAATTATAATTCAAATTAAATATAGTAATTTGTGTTTTTCATATAAAATTTTAGAGTAACTAGATTTTAATTAAATTAATTAGAGAAAATACATGTATATATATATATATATATATATATATATATATATATATATATATATATATATGAGAAGTCTAAGGTGCGGATTGACATTAGTATCTCTTGCTTTGAGTGCAACCTAAAAAGTTGTTGAGGAGGTTAAAAAACTATCTTCATTGTATTGATAGAAAATTAAAGATTCCATCACTACATTTCTCATCATTAAGGGTCCGTTTGTAAAGCATAAAATGACTTTTGGGAAATATTTTTAAAAAAATGACTCATTTTTTGAAAAATATTTTCCTTGTCAGTGTTTGGTTGCATTCTGAAAAATATAAGAGTGGATGGAAACTGAGGAATTGAAGGCAACGACGACAGCGAAGGCAACCATGTTTTGAGTGTTAGCGGATTTTTTGCAAAAATGCCTACATTTCTCCCGTCAACGAAAAACACTTTCCAGGAGTCATTTTCTGAGTTTCCCGAATGAATGTACTCTAAGTGCAAAAGACACTATTGTTAATTTTGAGGAAGTTAATTTTTGTATTAAATATTTTATTTTACTTTTTATATATATGAGCCAATAAAGTTAGGCCGCCCCTAAAGGGAACTAAAAAATGTTGATGTAATTGTTTGTTGAAATCAATGATTCATATTATTTTTATTTTAGTATTTTTTGTGATTTTTTCAATTATACCCTCTATCATGTTATTTACATTTCCTAAATACTCTTGTATTCTGTCAATCTAAACTTTAGTAAAAGAATTTCCGTTAGCTATTTATTATTCTTAACTCAGTCATTGATTTTCCGAAGGAAAGTCTTTGTTTCGAATCCCATCCCAATCAAAATTGACATAATTGTTAAACATATATTACGAGTATGTTAGAGGGAACTGGCATGGGGGAGGTAGATGTTGAGACAGACTCCCAATTGGTTTATTTTGCTTTACGTTCAGACTCTTTTTATTCTGTGTTTGGTTTAGCTGTTGATGATGTTAAAGAAGTGGTAACCACTATTGATGGTGTTGACATCTATTTTGCTAAGCGATATGCGAATTGTGCTGCTCACACTGTTGCTCGGGAAGCCGTTTCTATGTCAGGTTGCGGGGAATGGTTTGATAACCCTCCCCCTTATCTTGTTGATTGTATTCGTTCAGAGTTAATGCATTAAGTTCTTATTTCAAAATATACTACGAGTATGTTAGAGTGTATTAACAAAATACAATGGCCCTGCTTGGTAAAATAGTTAACCTATAAGCCAATTTTGGCTTATTTGACCACTATTAGCGGTTTGACTTAGCTTTTTGTAACTCCAAAATGTTGAAATTCAAAAAGTTGTTCAAAGCAACTTTTTCAATTAGCTTTTTAAGAAAAGAAATTATACCAAATAGCTATCAGCTAACAGATCATTTACCAAACACATTTCTACAATCAACTAAAGTTATCAACTTGTTATACCCTCTAATTAACTCAATCTGCTAACAGCTAACAACTATCCGCTAATAGTCATTTACCAAACAGGGCCCATATAAAATTTAACATGAACTTTGGTCAATTAATTAGAATCACGCATTGTCCTAATTTATAGTATATATTCAACACAGATGAAAAACTATGCCTATTATCATTGTCTTTTTGGGAAAGGATCAGGGGATTTGGTTCCATTTTTGAAGGTGCACTGCGCCAAGGCACTAAAATTGTAGTGAAGCACACTAGGGGACTAGATCAAATCAAGAATTCATTTCTGACGCTCACGGCAATTAATAGGGTTTTATGTTGCAAAAACTATGTTTATGGTACTATCCAGTGAGGGTGCTTCTCTCTAAAATTGCTTTTATTGCATCAGTTAATCCAACATTTCTACCATAGGTCATAGTTATGCATTCTTGAAATATATACTTTTATGAAAAATTTGATAATCTTGCATTGATATATGCCATGATACCGAATGATATTTAGATAAATTCTGAAACAATAATCTAAAAATACATATTGGGCATCAGACTATTCGCGCAATGCGCGTGTGATAACTAGCATTTTATATAAAATGGGATTGGAAGTTTATTTTTGTACAATCTCACAAAAAAAAAGTTCGTATTTCTTCTACATGGATTTATATGCATTATTCTTTTACAATTTGTTATAATATTCTAAAGTAACTTATAGAATTTAGTACGATTTTTAATATATATATATATATATATATATATATATATATATATATATATATATATATATATATATATATATATATATATATATATATATGGAGGGGTTCTGGTGTGGTTATTTGCTCAGACGCGAACGTGCGGTTTAATTTGAGCCGTTGATAAAATCTAGATAAACAGTTCAAATCAATAATTTTTATTTTTATTTTTTTTTTAAAAATACACATCTGGAAGGAACCAAGCAACTTAATTTTAAGTATGAAAATGGCCACCTCGATCCAGTACACAAATCACGCACCTTGAGTACCTAAATCACATACCTAAGGTTTTAAAATGGTCCACCTTAAGTTTTAATAACTCACGCACCTTAAGAAGGAAAACCACGTACCTTAAGTTTCAAGTTGACGCACCTTAAGTTTCAACAACTACTCACATTAAACACACAAACCACGCACCTTAAACACAAAAACCATGCACCTTAAGCATAAAAATTATGCACCTTAAGCACAAAACCACGCACCAGAAGTAAAAAAATCACGCACCTTAAGCACAAAAAACATGCACCTTAAGTTTCAACAACTACTCACATTAAGCACACAAATCATGCACCTTAAGAACAAAAACCACGCACCTCAAATTTGACCTAAATACAAAAATTACCAAATTGCCACTGCTTTTTTTTTTTTTTTTTTTTTTTAAATTTTGTTAATCTTAGACATTGATTTTGACAAGATCAATGGCTCTCCTCTTATCGCACAATCGCACCTGGGCGCACCAACTGTATTTGAACCTAATTATATATATATATATATATATATATATATATATATATATATATATATATATATATATATATATATATATATATATATATATATATATATATAGAGGCGGGTTCAGGTGCGGCAGTGTCTTACGGTGCGGTTATTTCTTACGGTGCGGCAACACCAATAGTTCACCAAATATGCACCATCAACGTTAGGAAATACACCACACAAAACAGAGTAAGCAGAGCCCTGCATCACCAAACACACACCATTAGGTGTGAGTAAAAACACCATACACTGTTCGGAAATACACCATTGGGGGTGGTGAGTTATATGGTGTGTTTTTTTGAGTCTGTGGTGTATTTTGTGATGATTTATTACATTTCATTGGGGTGTGTTTTTATTACACTATTGGTGCATATTGTTAACACTGTTGGTGTATTCTGGAATTTGACCGCACCGCCACACCGTAAGACCCTGCCGCATATGAGCGCTCTTATATATATATATATATATATATATAATTGTAGAATTCATATTAATATTAATGAAGTAAGAATTATAAAAATAATATATTACTAAATATAACTATGGTAACATTTAATTAAATCTAAATAAATAAAATCAACCTTACCAATTGAAGAATGTAAGAAAAAGATATTGTGTATGCATATGCATGTTAATAATAATGTGAAAGATAACAGAAGTTATAACGACGGCAGGGATATTTTCGTCCAAATAATTATGTAGTACAACATTTATAGCATAAGGTACAAAAAAAGTTAATAGAAAAAACGGACATAAAACCAGGGACATAACTTGGATTGAAGCTTATTATGTTTATGTTTATATATATATATATATATATATATATATATATATATATATATATATATATATATATTCGTGTAAAAATCAAATTACATGTAACGCAAATTAACTTTCACTCCTACCCAATACATACAAAATGGGATAAAGTAATAACTATAGGGAAAATGACACTTTTTCCCCTTGAATTATATACCCAAAGCATTTTTTCCCCATAAATTATTGAAGTGGCTGTTTTTCCCCCTGAAATGTTAAATAGACATATTTACCCTTAAACTAAATATTTAATTTATTTTTTTTCTCCAACAAATTATTACCATAATTTGGTTCAAACTAAACAAACACTATAGCACCAAACCGAAATATTCCAATTACAATTTAGAATCGAAATTCGATATTTAGAGTTTATTAAAATCATGAACCGGAACGGACGGTTCATGTTCCAAATTGAAAAAATAAAATACATTTGTTGTTGAATTTATACTATTTTAAAATAAAAAATAAAATTTTAAAATAAATACGGTTCAAAATCGCGAATCAGATCCGGAACCTCCGGTTCACGGTTCAAGTTTCAATTTTTTGGATACATAATATTAATAAATTGACCTTTAAATAT